AAGATGGATAAGTCTAGCAGCAACATTCATATTTTCCCAAAGTAGCAACAGCAAAGCCCAACAGCCCTTGGACTGCATTCACTTGCACAAGCCAAGTGAGCAACAGAATTGTCAAAATGCATCAAATATTCAGTATGGATCATGGCACAGAGTATACAAGTGGAAAAGCAAAAGCTACTTTGAGGGCCATGGAATGATGTTCCAACTACTATGCCATAGTTCTATACCAGAACAAAATGGTGTTGTAGAGACAATAAACCACACGTGTGAAAGTGACAGAATCATGCTGTTTGATGCAGATATGCTGACAACATAGGAGGAGGCAATTATGACAGACTGCTATCTCCAAAATCACTTACCTGGAAAGTATTTCTACATTGCTGTCATATGTACCTAGCATGTTTCTCTCTCCCTGCTGTTTACATCAGAAGCAGTAGCAGCGTAACAACCATGAAGTACCCAGTAATCAACATTTGTACAGAGGTCAAAACAACATAAAGAACCCTTGAACAAATTTCTGATCATCTGGCAACCTTGGAGCTCAGAATTTCTTCCTAGTGGCTTCAACCAAGACCTCCTTGTACTTTAGGGGATGGGGGTGTCCACAGGACTTAATTTTCTCGACCCTGTCCTGCACTCACATCCACAAAGGAGTGGGTAAAGTGCTATGGAGCTGCCATCAGCCCCACACTATATAGTCAGAAAGAATATCCCCGGACTCCCTCTTCTCATTGGCTGAGACAGAAGAAGCGGGAACCACTGGCTCCCACTGCTGTCACAGCCAGTGAGCCAATGAGAAGACATAGGAGGTGGGGCCGAGACGCAGTTCCATGTGTGAATGGACACATGGAGCAGCGGGTGCCCCCATAGCAAGTTGCTTGTTGTGGGGGCACCCGACAGAGGGAGGGGCCAGGAGAGCCTGCAGGGGACCCGAAAAGAGGAGGATCCAGGTTGCTCTATGCAAAACCACTGCACACAGTAGGTAAGTATAACATGTTTGTTATTTTTTCTTTAAAAAAAATAAACCTTTAGAATAACTTTAACCACTTGCCCTCCTGAGGATTTACCCCCTTAATGACCAGGCCTCTGCTACTCGGCGCTGCACTAATTCAACTGATAATTGCGCGGTCATGCAATGCTGCACCCAAATATAAAATTCCCACAAATTGAGCTTTCTTTCGGTGGTATTTGATCACCTGTGCGTTTTTTTTTTTTTGCGCTATATAAAAAAAGGCTGACATATTTGAGGAAAGAAAACAATATTTTGGACTTTTTGCTATAAAACATGTCCAGTAAAAAAAAATGTAAAAATCAAATTTAGTCATAAATTTCTGCCAAAATGTATTCTGCGACATTTCTTTGCTAAAAAAAAAAACCCAATACATGTAAATTAATTGGTTTACGTGAAAGTTATAGTGTTTACAAATGGCAGGAAAGATACTGTGATTTTTTAAATTTTTTTTTATACTAATAATGGTGGTGATCAGCGACTTATGGCGGCGATCAGTGACATATGGCGGCGATCAGCGACTTATGGCAGGACTGTGGGACTGCGGCGGACATTCTGACACTGGGGGGGAACTGACTTGGGATTACTGACATCCCCAGTGACGCCAATACAGTGATCAGTGCAAAAAAAAAACACTGACACTGTACTAATGGCACTGGGGAGGAAGGGGTTAACTTTTTTATTTACTGAAAGGGTTAACTGTGTGAGGGAAGTTTACTAGGGGGCGGGGGTGTGTACTGCATGGGAACAAGGCTGATCTGGAGAGATAAACTCTTCTTTCCAGATCAGCATGTCAGGAGCTGACAGGGGACTGACAGAAAGCACGGCTGCAGTGTAAACACTGCAGCCGTCCTCTCTGTCAGTGATTTCCACTAATTGACGGGACATGGTAGGTAATGACCGTCCGTGACCCGGCGACTGACACCCGCAGTCGCGAACGGCGGGACGAGTAGGGCGGGCACGGGCCTCGCGCGCCCCCTACCTGTTTTGCAAACGCAAGTTTTAAAATGTGGTTTTGCCCAGCTGTGCCGACCTGCCACCGTATTTCTATAGTGGCTGGTCGGCAAGAAGTTAAGTATAAAAAATATCAAACACTTTATTGAAAACATAAAAAAAAGAGAATATCATAAAAACAATTAGCAGCAACAAAATGCATGTACATCTCTTGCAGTTAGAGGTACATATAAAAGACCTTGAATACATTATATTCAGGGCATGAAGGCCCCCTCATCCCCTCTCCTGATTCTTTTTTCTATCCCAGAGTCCCCCCTTCTTCCCTCTCTCTCTCCCACCCCAAACTTCACCCTCCTTCTCATGCCCTTTCCCTGGATTCTTGTTATTTCCTCCTTATTTATGTACAGAGACTCTGTTCCTCATAGCTATACTGGAATCCCTGTCCCAGTACTAGTTATATCCCTGCTCCTCCTTTCAATATATGTTCTATCAAGATAATTAATATTTACTGTTACTGCCTTTATTTACGCCATGGTAACTGTTGCCTTCCTTTTCTATGTTTGCTGCCCTGTACAACAACGTAGCTACAAAATCTTTCAAAGCTTTGTACCTTTAAGGCTGCGTTCACACTAGCTTTGTCAGCAGGCGTCAGACAGGCATTTGGGAAGCATTTTTAACGCTTCTTAAACACCTATGAAAACTTCTGCACATGTCAGCACACAGTGCTGTTCACACTGAAGCATTTGCGTCGCGTTGCGTTGCGGCAAAACTGATTCCTCATATTGAGTCAGGAGGAGTTGAAGCCTCCCATTCAAAGCTAAGGTGCTGCTCCTCAAATGCCTGGCAGGCGTTTGCGAGGCGTTTGTGGAGCGTTAATACTATTTAACTTCATTATAGGCGTTTGTGGTGCAGTTTTAAAGCTTGGCAAACGCCTATAAAACACCTCAAAACCATGCATAGAGCATTTGGGGAGCGTTTTTTTAAAAATGCTTCCCAAACGCCTGTCTACCGCCTGTCAAACGCTATAGGGGTGTTTGGCAAGAGTTTAAAATAAGTCAAGTGTGAACGAGCCCTAAATCTCTGTAAATTGTTAACCCATTCCCGCCACCATCTTCTGGCCTTTTAAGAGGTTCTAATTGCCAGAATGCAGAAGCAGGAATTCCAATAATGTGACCGCTGATTGGCAGTCACAGTGGTCACGATTGGAAAGTATACATCAGGATCTTTCGGGTACCAATGGTAACTGTGCTAGGAGAATTCAGGACATGCCCCCTCAGCACAGGAAATTTTTACATAAGGACGAATATATGTGACCTCTCAGCATTAAAGCGCACCCGCTGAAAAACCGCATGTATGTGTACGGCAGACGGGAACTGGTTAAATTTACCTTAACCACTTCCCAACCGCCCTATAGCAGAAAAACTGCTACAGAGCATCATGGGTGTGCAAAATCATGTATATATGCGTGATTTTGCATTTCCGGGTAGGGGGGGGCACACCCTAGGGGGCGCACATCCGGTGATTACACGCACTAACACCATCCCTCGTCGCTCAGGCACACTGCTTTGGATGGCTTACAGTGAAGCACACAAGCATCATAGTAAAAACACATCCAGCACACAGTTAATCCTTTGATTGCCCTGCATGTTAACCCTTCCTGCCCAGTGCCATTAGTACAGTGTCAGTACTTTTTTTTAGCAATGATCACTGTATTGGTGTCACTGGGGATGTCAGTGACACCAAGTCAGTTCCTCCCAGTGTCAGAATGTCTGCCGCAGTCCTGCTATAAGTCACTGATCGCCACCATTACTAGTAAGAATTTTTTAAAAATCCCAGTATGTATACCGCCATTTGTGTATTGGGATTTTTTTTTACCAAAGATGTGTAGCAGAATACATTCTGGCCTAAATTTATGACAAAATTAGATTTATTTTTTTTTTTACTGGACATGTTTAATAGCAAAAAGTAAAAAATATAGTTTTTTTTTCTCAAAATTGTCGGTCTTTTTTTTTTATAGAGCAAATAATAAAAACGCACAGACAATCAAATACCACCGAAAGAAAGCACAATTCATGGGAAAAACATGGACGTAAATTTCATTTAGGTGCAGCGTTGCATGACGGTGCAATTGCCAGTTAAAGTAATGCAGCGCAGCAACGCAAAAAATGGCCTGGTCAGGAAGGGGGGTAAATCTTCTGGAGGGCAAGTGGTTAAGAAAGCCTATAAAAACATTGGATATAGAAAAAAGGACCATCAACTCTGATAAACAGTAGTCCTGATATGTTCTTTAGAAGGGACAGTTTTTATTTTTCATTTGCCTTGTATATATTTATGCTACATTCTTGCAACTCCAAGCCTAATTTGCACAACTCTTGAAGGGAAGTCCCGTATACGGTATGAAGTTTGTGTTGGTTATCTTTCTCAGTAGTCTTTCATACACATTCATGTCCCGAGTGGTATTGCGCTGTGCTTCTTCAAACTGAGAAACTAACGTAGCTTTCCCACACTGCTGAGACAGATCGAAAAGTAAATGCCACCCACCTTGTATTAAGAACTTTTCCTGCTTTTTTTAAAAAGCTGTAGCTCTAGGGAGGTAGCACAGACTTGCAGTTCCCTGCGGTTTTTTTGGAGATGCTCGATAAAGTACATACAGCTCATCCATAAAGGCCTTAAATCTATTAATCCCTGAAAATTGTTTGACTGTATCTCTGACAATTCTAATCTGTGGTTAGCACAGTGCCACAGAATAATTTGAGGACATTTCTCTTTTAATCATTTCTCAACTTCACTCATATGTCCTAGCATCACAGGTGCACCATCCCATGTAACACTGGTCAAATGCTGTTTTATGTAGTTTTCCAAATCCCATAGTTATATAGGCAGTTAACCACATTCCCACCACCCTATAGCAGATATACAGCTACAGGGCGGCAGGGGTGCACAAAATCACATATATATACGTGATTTTGAATTTCCGGGTAGGGGCCCGCACATCCGCGCACGTGCCCTATCCGCGCCACCATTAGATGCCACAGCTGTCAGTCACCGGGTCCCAACCAGTGATTACCCGCCGGTGCCCGGTGATTACCGAGGATCTCCGACGGGGAGGAGGGCTGCTTTGTTTACTAACAGTCCTCCTCCCTGTCAGCTCAGGCACACTGCTCTGCACTCTGCATGGCTGTGCTCAGCAGTGACCTTACAGTGAAGCACCAACACACCGCCCCCCAGTAAAACACTCCCAGCACACAGTTAACCCTTTGATCACCGCTCATGTTAACCCCTTCCTGCTCAGTGCCATTTGTACAGTGTCAGTACTTTTTTTTTAGCACTGATCACTGTATTGGTGTCACTGGGGATGTCAGTGAAACCAAGTTTGTTCCCCCCAGTGTTAGAATGCCCGCCGCAGTCCCACTATAAGTCGCTGATCGTCGCCATTATTATAAAAAAAATTCCGTATCTATACTGCGATTTGTAAACACTATAAATTTCACATATTTACACATATTGGGATTTTTTTTAGCAAATACGTGTAGCAGAATACATTTTGACCTAAATTTATGACGAATTTTTATTTTTTATTTTTTTTTATTTTTTTACTGGATATGTTCAATAGCAAAAAGTTAAAAATACTGTTTTTTTTTCTCAAAATTGTCGGTCTTTTTTTTTTTTATAGTGCAAAAAATAAAAAACAGGCAGGCGATCAAATACCACTGAAAGAAAGTTCAATTCATGGGAAAAAAGGACGTCATTTCATTTGGGTGCAGCTTTGCTTGAACGCTCAATTGTCAGTTAAAGTAACGCAGAGCCACAACCCAAAAAATGGCCTGGTCAGGAAGGGGGGTAAATCCTCAGGAGGGCAGGTGGTTACCCTAGGTTCACATCTGTGCAGGTGGTGCGGCTGCGGAACCACATAAAAATCCATGCAGCGGCACCACTCGCACAGAGAAATGCGGACCCGTGGACGGGTCCCGTGCAGGCTGCATTTTCAAAAGAAGTGCAGGGACTTCTTCCCTGCGTGTCACGGGGCACAGGAGTCCATTCAAATGCATGAGCTCTTGTGCCCGTTCAAAACGCAGCCCGCACGGCTGCATATATCTGAAAAGGGATCAAGAAGAGATGTCAAACATACACAATCAGTGTAAATTAGAGATCTGCATGATGGAAAAATGTGTTTTGTTTCAGATTTATTCATTAAGTTAATAATTTAGTTTTTCATATTCGTTATGTTAGAATGATTTGCTTTCGGAATTCATTTCGTATATTCGGATTCCTTTCATATATTTATTTTCAAATCTATTAGAAATTCAGAAATTTCAGAAGATGACTATATTTGTTATATTCTATTCTCTTTTGTTATATTCTATTCAATCCTTTTCTATTATATTCTTATGTATTCTACTAGTCTACTATGTTCTAGTCTATTCTTTTGTATCCTATTATTTCTATTCCTTTATATTTTATTTTCTCTTTTGTTTTATTCTAGTCTACTTTATTTTACTCTATTCTATTCTTTTTTTTATTATTCCATTCTATTTTGTTGTATTCTTTTCTATTCTGTTCTTTTCTAGTCTATTTTATTATATTCTATTCCTTTATTTTCTATTCTATTCATCCCAACCATGGCACCACCTGCCTGGAGTTTGTATGTTCTCCCTGTGCCTGCATGGGTTTCCTCTGGATACTCTGATTTCCTCCCTCAATCCAAAAGACATGCTGGTAGGTTAATTGGGTCCTGTATAAATTGGCCCTAGTATATGAATGTAAGTTAGGGACCTTAGATTGTACACCCCTTGAGGGTTAGGGACTGATGTGAATGTACAACATATATATGTACAGCGCTGCGTAAATTAATGGGCAGGGGCAGACTGACCATTTGGAAACTCGGACACTGCCTGAGGGCCCGGGGTCAGTAGGGGGCCCCATGAGATGCCCCTGGTACCTTTTTCATAGGCTTTTTTGAGTTTGAGCAAGGGCACAGGGGCCCCATGATCCCCTATAGCCCGGGGGCCCCATGAGTTGTCAGTCCTCCCCTGTTGATGGCGCTATATAAGTACCTAAAATAAATAAATAAAATATTCAGTTCTATTCTTTATATTCTATTCTGTTTTTGCCCATATTAATGCATATGACCACAAATCTATTTCAGAGGAAAAAAAAATAGTCACAATAACTGGTTTTCTTTGGTTATTTTGTACTCAGTATAAGTTATTTCGTTTCTCAAGACAACTTTTTTAAACAAATGTAGAGTACTTTTTTTTTTTTTCAACAGAAGTTTTAAGGCGGCTTTCTGCACAGCACCTTTCACTTCCCCCTTAAGAAATTGTACTAACTACAACAGAGATTAAAAATAAAAAAAAACATGGGGTACTAACTGAAGGAGCAAATTACAAGGTCTAACCTCAGGATAATACAGAGGGGCCTAACCCCAGAAATCTGCAGGTCATAAATAACAGAAAGCACCCCCCCCCCTTGCAGTCAGGTCGCTAACAAACCGCAAAAGAAACTTGAGGGTTTTTTTCAGCATGAAGGAATAATGTAAATCAAATGCACACAAACTGCTTTGTAAAACAGCACACTAGACACAATAATATCACTCCCTAACACAGAGTTAACCCTTTGATTGCCCCAGGTGTTAACCCCTTCCTGCCCAGTGTCATTAGTACAGTGTCAGTGCTTTTTATTAGCACTGATCACTGTATTAGTGTCACTGGAGATGTCAGTTAGTCAGTTCCCACCCAGTGTCAGAATGCCTGCCGCAGTCCCGCTATAAGCCGTTGATAAGCCATTACTAGTATGAAAAAAAATAACTAAAAAAATTTCAGTATATAACGCCAATTGTAGCTGCTATAGCTTTCACATAAAGCAATTAACATACACTTATTGGGACTTTTTTTTAGCAAAGATATGTAGCAGAATACATTCTGGCCTAAATTTATGCGGAAATTTTTTTTTTTTTTTGCATGACCGCGCAATTGTCAGTTAAAATAACGCAGCACCGTTTTTTAAAAATGGCCCGGTCAGGAAGGGGAGTAAGGCTACATTCACACTAGCTTTGTCAGCAGGCGTAATACAGGCCTTTGGCAAGCGTTTTTAACACTTCTCAAAACACCTATGAAAATTATGCACATGGCAGCACACAGTGCTGTTCACACGGAAGCGTTAGCGTCACGTTGCGGCAAAACTGACGCCTCTGCTCGAGTCAAGAGGAGTTAAAGCCTCCCATTCAAGTCTATGGTTCCACTCTGAAAACCGGCGTTTGGGGTGAGGTTGTGACGCGGTTGTGAGGTGTTTGCGGAATGTTAATACCATTTAACTTCATTATAGAAGTTTGTAGTGCGGTTTTAACGCTTGGCAAACGCCTATCAACAGCCTCAAAACTGCACATAGGGCGTTTGGGGAGCGGTAAAGACGCTTTACAAACGCCTGTCTAACGCCTCTCAAACGCTATAGGGGCGTTTGGCAAGAGTTAGAAATGAAGTCAAGTGTGAACGAGCCCTAAATCCTCTGGAGGGCAAGTGTTTAAAGCAGAACTAAACTCTCTCAATCAACAGGAACTATTTTTAATCCTTATGCTGGCATTAGTAAATAGGGGAGGAACGTATATTATATTTTCTTGTTTTAACTTTTTATTTACTTTTCTTCAGTTGCTTCTTGGTTTCTGGCCTAGGCCAATAAATCACACATCACATGAGTCTTCATGACCATTTTTTCCTTTCATCTGAAGGAGGGGAGCAAGGGCTTCCTCAGCTAAGCACACTTTACTGCTTGCATGCCTCAGCTAAAGGCAGATGGATTCCAGGAATTAAATGCTACAGAATCTTAAGCCTTTTGCTCAAGATGGCCACAGTTAGAAATGCTAGGGGGGGGGGGGGGGGGTTTCCGAGATGATTTTTCAACATAATAAAGCATTAGGACATGGGTGAGTTATGCTTTAAATATTAAAAATTAATTAAATAGCATTTTCCATTTGTGGTGCTCAGATACATTTTAGCTCCACTTTAACTATTGTTAACATTTTCCAAAGGACACAAAAGAACCGTATAGCAAAAACACATGGCAAATCATAATAGCAGGCATTAGGATTATGTCTCACTTTCCCATTCTCACAAACCTCTATGATTTCTTTTACCAGTATCTGGAATTGGTATTTTTTCTTGGACATTGCTCCTTGAAATGCTCAGCTTCTCTACAGCCATATCCACAGCAAGCTGACTTGGTGTTATCTGCTTCAACTTCTCCTGAAGCCATCTCTTTTCAGGCTAAAGCAACCACAGCCTTCTGAATATACTGTAACTACCAGGGGCGGACTGACCATTTGGAAACTCGGGCACTGCCCGAGGGCCCGGGGTCAGTAGGGGGCCCTATGAGATGCCCCTGGTACCTTTTTCATAGGCTTTTTTGAGTTTGGGCAAGGACACAGGGGCCCCATGATCCCCTATTGCCCGGGGGCCCCATGAGTTGTCAGTCCGCCCCTGGTACCTACACTATCTGGGCTAGTGAATTTTGCATCTCTGGGCTGGTTGAACCTGATGATCAATCTCCGCTGATGGTTCAGTGTTCAATCTAAACTCAAATTTGCTTTCTTCTGTAAACATCTCTCCCTCTTAAGCAGGCCAGAATTTTTCTCTTTTCTTGAGCAAGCCCAGCAGTGGTGTGAAAGTTTCATTCTTCGCCTCCTCCTTAACTTGGAATAGGTGGGATTGTCTGTATGTGTGTTGAAGGATTGGATGACAACATTGTCATTATTTTCACCTTCACTGGGCAGAAATTTATTTTTGATTGGAGATCTGAGTTTATTTTTATATGTGCAATAAATGATTTCGTATGGACTCAGCATTCTCATTTACTGAAGTGGGTCAGAGGAATGCTGGATGATCCCCCACTTTTTAGCACTTCCACAAGTGCCTTGCACCTGCGCTGACCCACCGTGTACCTGGATCAAAGTGACACCTAGACATACTATGAATGGGCTATATTAGCATCAAAAGCTTGGAAAATAAAGGATGGGTTAAATAGTAAAGTAAATACAGTTTGAAAAGTGACACCAATTTCTAAGGTAACTCAGTTCCTTCCCTCAGCCACCAATGAAAAAACTGTTGCATAACATACTAAGCCGGCGTAAAGGAACAATACCGACCTACAAAGCAACACAAAGAAAATGGCAAATTTGGCAATGGTAGAATGCTTTCAACTACTGGCACAGGCAACATCAGCTAACAATATAAATGGCAAAAATCTCAAATACCTTACAATCTATCTCTAAGTCTCAGTACCTGACTAGTCATTCTCCAGTAGAGAATTTAAATATCACTCAGTCCTGCCAGTCTTGGGGCCCTTTCCTTTTACACGTGGTGGATTTTAGTATACAGGATAAAAAGTGAAAGACAGACTCGCCTAACCCAGTGCTGAGCAGTACTGCAACATGCTAATAAACAATGGTAATACAATAAAAAACATTTAATTATCTTATCTTATGTTTCTGAGCCTAATGAGCAGTGTTAATCTGTTTAATTAAAGAAATGTAAATATAAGCCATTTACCCAGATGTTCGAAGCCAGTGTAAAATAGTTTACTAAGTAAACAACCATATAATTGATGTGTTTATTGTTTAAAGTGGAACGCTATGTAAACAGCTACATCCACATTTGGAATGCATAGTTTACATACCTACATACATACACTGCCACACTGCATGGCCAGGACATTTACAATTTCCTGATTAATATTTTCATAATTCTGCATCACTTTCATGTTCATTGGGGAGGTTGATTCATTGTTCAGCAGTGACATCTGAAGATGTACAGTAAATCTGTATCAGAATATCATGATCACTTAAGTTGCTATGCAGTTCTGGCATGGTGTGTGACTGTTTGAACGGAAGTACCAATTTTTTGGACGTAAAATAGTTTACATATATGTACTGCATGTCGTACCTTGAGTTTCACTTTAAGCCCTAGTTTACACTAATGTGACTTGTCATGCAATTTGACCATTCAAATTGCATGACAAATCTCCTCTAATGACCGGCAGAGGAACCAATTTGAAAAGTAGTTCTGTGGCAGCTCCCAAATATTACAAGGTTCCCCTTTAGGTCTTAACATTTTTAGTTTGCAAAAGAAAAGAACTAACTCTTAGCTCACTCCCTCTCCCACACATCCTGTGGAAATATCGGCAGTTAGTGAAATGAAACCGCCAATTGCTAAATGTTATATGTTGTACTGTTTAGCACATGTCTTAATGAGGACAAAGAGCAAATGTATGCATTGTGACGTAATCATTGGTATATACACATGTAAGATGCTTTTACAAGCCACTTAGCTTTCAGACACGAGTCTGACTAAGTCCCAGCTGGTAAATAAAAGTTTGTTTTCCTCACGTTCATGTCCGGAGTTTTACCTGGTATTCCCAAAGCTGCTAGTACATTTCCTGCACTACTTTTGCCAATCTTGGGTGCAACATGCATAGGCATCTGTGCATGCAGATGCACAGATGTTTGCAAGTTGCACCCGAAGTCGCATTGACATTCAAGTGATGTCACACAATTTCTAATTTGCATGCAGTGTGAATGGGGGCTTAAAGAAACCTATCAGAATAGATATCTGCCCACTTGCTGACTTGTTTTTTAAACAACATGCTCCATTGCTATCATTTTTATAAATTTTTTTACTTGACGCACCATTGACCTGGAACATGCATGTAGACTGCCAATATAAAGCCTGACACAAGCCAGTTTTTTAGTTTTGTACAGAGAGGGGAAAACATTTCTGTCAAGTTTTAGATTTCTGTCTGTGACCCAACTAAAAAGTGTTTGTTTTTGTCTGGGTCCCCATTGAAGATATTTTCCACCATTTTCTGTTGTGAGTCTTCCTCTAGTCTTTCCTTCTCTACCCCAAACAAATAATGTTTTGTCTGGAGTTGCATTTGCATTTGATATGAACATGCTTGTTCCCTATTAGTGACTAAGCAAGGAAAAGGAACATAGCCCTGGAGTTTTCTCCTACGAAAATGAGTCAGCAGTGGCAGTTCTCATATTTGTATCCTGTTAGATTGTTTAGCTGTTTTTCATAGGTGAAGAATCCTTGTAGCCTACTATAAAATGTATCTGAGCTTATCACTCACATAAAGGGCTAGACATGATTAAATTAGGACGTTTAACTTCATAGCTGTGTTGGAGATTTCTGTTTATTCTATTTAATTTATTTATTAAAGGTATATATATATATATATATAGGCAGCACAGTAGCTAAATGGTTAGCACTTACGCCTGACAGTCTCACCTGCCTGGAGTTTGCATGTTCTCCCTGTGCCTGCGTGGTTTTCCTCCGGGTACTCCGGTTTCCTCCCACACTCCAAAGACATGCTGGTAGGTTAATTGGATCCTGTCTAAATTGGCCCTAATATATGTATGAATGTAAGTTAAGGACTTTAGATTGTACACCCCTTGAGGGTTAGGGACTGATGTGAATGTACAATATATATGTGTAAAGTGCTGCGTAAATTGACGGTGCTATATAAGTACCTGTAATAAATAAATAAAATAAAATATATATACTCTTAGATTGTAAACTCCAAGGATAAGGGTCCTCCTAACCATCTTGTATTGAACTGTATTGTTGCTGTATTGTCTCCCTTTATATTGTAAAGCACTGAGCAAACTGTTGGTGCTATATAAATCCTGTATAATAATAATAAAACAATTATATATATTGTACATTCACATCAGTCCCTAACCCTCAAGGAGCATACGATCTAAGGTACCTAAAATACATAAGGTACCTAACAGGTACCTCATTCATACATACTAGGGCAAATGTTTTAGACAGGAGCCAATTAACCTACCAGCTTGTCTTTGGAGTGTGGGAGGAAACGGAGTACCCGCAGGAAGCCCACACAGGCACAGGCACTGGGAGATTTGCTATGAAATATTGGGGGTTATTTACTTAAGATGGAGAGTGCAAAATTTGGTGCAACTCTGCATATAAACCAATCAGCTTCCAGGTTTTATTGCCAAAGCTTAATTGAGGAAGCTGAAGTTAGAAGCTGATTGGCTACCATTGGCACAGCTGCATTCTGAGTGCTCCAGTTTTAGTAAATTTACCCCATGGTGTAAGCTTTCATTCCTAGTATTTTATTTCTGTTTCTGGACATGATCAGTTAAGAATCATATTATCCCTCAGACCCAAAGAGGAACATTTATTTTGTTGCTTAGTTTTTGCTAAATTATTTAATTTAGATTTAGATTTGTTTCTAAACCTCTGTTAGCCAAAAATATATACTAGGAAAAAGAACTTGAATGGCAAATCAACTAAACTGAAATATCAGTTCTTGGTGGATCAGCTTCTTAATAGCATCAATAAGGGCAATTCACACTGACTTGCACTAAAATGGATGGAAAATGGATGTACATTTCCATCCATTTTAGTCGCGTGCTGACGTACATTTTGATCATTAGTTGACATGCATTTTAACACGCACGTTAAAGCGTAGTACATTTTCACAGGATATCCTGTGCATTTCGTTTACATCTGTTCACATCCACTTACATCCGCTCACATCGACTGTGTTGCACTAAACGCAGGTCAACACAGCATTATGGGATGAATAGGACGCATTAGAAATGATTGCTTTTCAGATGTCCTTCTGTTGATCTGCGTTTTACAGCACAATGCACTGGTGTGAATTGGCCCTAAAAGAGCAGTGGTGTACAGTAAGCGATTCACTTCCAAAATGTATTCCGTTTTTTATAGCTTAGAATAGGTTGCCTAAAGAAAGTTGATTTCTGCTCTTTTCTGTACATTGCTTCACATCATTATATTTCATACTGTTATTTTAAACAAGCTCTGAGGTATATGCTTTATGCCATTTTGTTTTCATTTCTACACATTTAAAGTACAGTATATGTGAACCCTCACCTCGTAAAACAACCCATTCAGTTTAAAATAGAAATGAAAGGTAAAGCATTTGTGTATAGATATTTTTTTTTCAAATGATCACATAATCTCTGTTCTCAGCTGCATAAGGAGCTCAAAGGAACAGGGGAAAATAATCAGGCACACAGTGATCTTCCCAGTGAATGGTTGTGCAGGGTGGGGGGCATGTCAGCACAAGCCTGATCATTGGATCAACTCCCAGCACAGCCAGTATGGTCAGTATTTAACCACTTAAGCAGAGTTCCACCTAAAAAAAAAAATAATAAAAGTCAGCAGCTACTAAAACTGTAGCTGCTGACTCATTAAATACAGCCACTTACCTGTCCCTCGGTCTAGCAGTGTCCTCATCACCGTTGGTTTCACCTGCCGTCTTCTCTCCATGGCACCGGTATCTTCAGTGTGGGCACCTGGCAGTGACAGCTTGCGACTTCACAGCCGGGTGCCCACTGCGCATGCGCGAGAACTGCTGCACATTGTGAATGGCCACGTAGTCTTCTTGGACCTGTCACATGTCCCAGAAGACTATGGGGAGGGAAGGGGGAGGACAACTTCCGCTTCCAATCGCCTAGGCAATCACAGCGGAAGAGGGAGCAGGTACCTGTCTAATTCGGGTACCCCCTATCCCCCGCTCCCCAAAGGTGCCAATCCTTAATGGTGAGCTGCGACAAAGGCTTAAAGCGGAACTTTCCCTTTAGGGTGGAGCTCCGCTTTAAAGGACTACTCTATAGCAGATATATTTCTACAGGGCAGCACCTGTGCGCAGAACCACAGACATATGTCATTTTGCATTTCCGGGTAGGGGCCCTACCCGCGCCACCATTCGCGGCCATAGATGTCAATCACTGGGTCCTGGCAGGTGATTACCGGCGATCACCAACTGGGAGGAAGATTGTTTTGTGTCTACAAACAATCTTCCTTCCTGACAGGTCGAGCACACTGCTCGGGATGGCTGTGCACAGTACAACCATCCCGATCAGTGTGCTTACAGTGAAGAACACCCCCTGACCCCCTAGTAAAACACTCCCAGCACACAGTTAACCCTTTGATTGCCCCTCACATTAACCCCGTCCTGCCCAGTGCCATTAGTACAGTGTCAGTGCTTTTTTTTAGCACTGATCACTGTATTGGTGTCACTGGGGTGTCAGTGACACCAAGTTAGTTCCTCCCAGTTTCAGAATGTCCACCGCAGTTCCACTAAAATTCGCTGATCACTGCCATTACTAGTAGGGAAAAAAAAATCCCATTATCTATACCGCCATTTATAAACGCTATAACTTTCATGCAAACCAATTAATTTACATGTATTGTGATTTTTTTTAGCAAAGACGTTGCAGAATACATTTTGGCCTAAATTTATGATCAAATTTAGATTTTTTACCTTGTTTTACTGGGTATGTTTAATAGCAAAATATAGTTTTTTTTCTCAAAATTGTTGGTTTGTTTTTACTTATAGTGCAAAAATAAAAAACGCACAGGCGATCAAATACCACCAAAAGAAAGCTCAATTCATGGGAAAAAAAGGACGCAAATTTAATTTGGGTGCAGCGTTGCATGACCGCAAAATTGTTAGTTAAAATAATGCAGCGCCGTAACACAAAAAATGGCCTGGTCATAAAGGGGGGTAAATCCTCTGGATGGCAAGTGGTTAATAGGAATGCAGAGAGACTGTCAGGAACACCAGGGATTCAACACAAAGGAAGAAATACAAAGATACATTGTCATACAAGAGAATGTACAGGTAAGTCCTATAGTGCTGAAGCGGTTAACTAGTGACTCCTTTGGAGTAGCACTACATCTATTAAACACATACACATGGCACGCTGTGCTAGAAATGTTACAATTTAAGGAAATATTTATACTATTTTGACCATTTATGCAAACAAGCTGAATAAAATATGACATTCACTTCATTAATTCCAGACCAACTCACTTTTGTAACCCTCTAGACATCCAAAACTGAATTTCTAGAATTTCTTGTTATTTAGTCATAACAAGCTCACTTGGAGCAAGATAACCAATGGTCTGCCAGAGTTTGCTTGTCCCAACAAATTTACCTTTCACATGTCTACACATTCCGGTTTATCAAATCTCAATGTTGGAGAAGCTGAGGGGAGCAAAACCATAACCACCAGACCTGTAGCCTGACTAAAGCAATGTTTAAAATTCCCCAGCAAGTCGTTTTTGACAATTGATTTTTGAAACATAAGGAAACTTGGAAATTGAAACAGGGCTGAAAATGGTTGTGCTGAAATGTTCAGATTCTGGTTTATTTGCTGTGGATATTGCTTTCCTCAAAAAAAACAAGCACCTACTGAATTATTATAACGTGAAAACAAGATAAAGATTTCTGCAGTTTTCTTTTTAATTTACAACGGGGTTATATTTGCAGCCATTATAGACACTAGTGCTCACTAGAGTTCTTAGATAAAGTGCACGTTTCAATAACTTTACAACAGCAATATCATTTTCCAAAATATATATTTTTAGCAATAAAAAGCATTATTTATTGCTATTCCTTTAACTGTGTCTAGGCCAGGGGCCTCCAAACTTTCTAAGCAAAGGACTGGTTTATTGTCCTTCAGACTATAGGAGAGCCAGACTGTGGCCAGCAGGAATAGAAAATGCCTAAGACCTGGTGGTCAGTAGGGGTAAAATAATTATATAATGCATGTGGGCAGTATGAAGTATTGGTATTAATGGGAAACACAACCTCCATTGTTGGTGTCAGTGGAAGGAATTGTGCCCCATCATTGGTATGAGTGGGAGGAATAGTGCTCCACCATTGGTATTAGTGGGAGGAATTGTGCCCCATCGCTGGTATTAGTCGGAGGAATAGCGAGCCACCATTGTTATCAATGGGAGGAATAGTGCCCTGCCAAGCACTCACCGCAATCTGACATTTGCAAGTCAGATGTAAACAATTGGGAGAAGCTAGTGGTGATGTCACTGCTAACTCCTGCCAATTGTGTACGTCTGACCGGCAACTGTCATAACGGTTATTAACAATTGGGCAGAGCAGTGACGTCCCCGCTAGCTCTGCCCAATTGCCGTGAGCCATGATTGGCCAAAGTCTGATTGTGAACTCAGCTGTGATTGGCCAAACCATTGCACCTGACCTGTGGTCAGGTGTAATGCTTTGGCCAATTAGAATGTGCCGTCAGAGCACATTGCATTCTGGGGTCTGTGGGCGAATGGCCCACTGAACGCCACAGATGTTCGTGTGTTCAATGAACACACTAACATCCAATGCTCGACTCAAACATATAGATCGTCCCTAGTGGGAGGAATAGTGCCCCATCATTGGTATCAGTGGGAGCAATAGTGCTCCTCCTTTGGTATCAGTCGGAGTTATAGTACCCCATCACTGGTTTTAGTGGGTGGAATAGTGAGTCGTCATTGGTATCAATGGGAAGAATAGTGCTCCATCATTAATATCAATAGGAGAAATAGTGCTCCATTATTGGTATTAGTGGGAGGAATAGTGCCACATTATTGGTATTAGTGGGAGGAACAGTGCCCCATCATTGGTATTAGTGGGAGGACTAGTGCCCCATTGCTGGTATTAGTGGGAGGAATAGTGCCCCATTGCTGGTATTAGTGGGAGGAATAGTGCCCCATTGCTGGTATTAGTGGGATGAGTGGTATGCCTTCTTTGGTATTAGTGGGAGGAATAGTGCCCCCATCATTGATATTCGTGGAAAGAATAATTACCAAAATTACCATAATTGGTGTCAGTGACAGGAATAGTGTCTCATCTATGGTGTCAGTGGGATGAATAGTTCTCCATCTATGGTATCAGTGGGAGGAATAGTGCCCTAAGGGCTGGATAAAGGCAAGCAAAGGGCCACATATGGCCCGCAGTTCTTAATTTGGAGACCACTAGTCTAGGCTGATGAACTCATCAGTCTCCTTCGGGCAGTAAAAAGCATTTCTTCTGTCTCTTCCCCCCAGTGTCATACTGACCCTAGTTAATCCCTTCTAGAGACAAAAGTATATGAAAAAATTGTCAGGAGGAGTACTGTGATCCATGTGAAAGACAATAAATATCTGTAAAACCTTATTTAGGATGCTTACACTTAACAAAAACAGGTCTGATGCTAAATGCACTTTAAAACATTTCTTAAATGCAGCCTGCTGTGCTATGTACTTGTAAAAAGAAGTATCCTGTTCTTTTTGTATTGCTTTCTTTATGTGAAATCCCTGGTGTTCCTGACAGTCCCTCTGTTTTCCTATTAAAAACTGAATACACTAGGCATGATAGCACAGCATGGTCAGTTTTCTAGCTCTGCTGAGAAATCAGCCTGCTTTCCTCCAATGATCAGATTTGTGCTAACATGCTCCCCTGCACAGCCATTCACTGGAAAGACCAGTGTAATGCTGTTTCTTCTCCCCCCCGCTCTCTAAACCCCTTATGCAGCTGAGAACAGAGGGTATGTGATCACTTATAAAGAAGGGGGAAAAGGTATTTATAATGTTTTTTATATGTATACACAAGTGTTTGCCTTTATTTCTATATTAAACGGGATGGGTTGTTTTGTTATGTTTTAATATCAGATGTGAAAATATATTGCACAGTGCATTGGAGGTTTGCATTGTGTTTAGATAATTATTTATTATAATGGCCATAGATGTTGTGCTTTGTCCTAACAGCTACTTGTGATAATTACCCACAGGCATTACTCCACTAGGCACTGATGAGGATGTTTCCTCTACCAAAGAAGGAGCAGAGAGGAGTATGTAGATCGTGATGTGGTTAGCAATTTACACAGTAATTTTAGTTAAATTATGCTGTTTTTAAGATTAGAAAAATCTGCAGGATAAGTAAATGGTTTTTAAAACAATAAAGAACATCTGATGGCTTTCCTAGTTTATGCCATGGTGGAATTCATGTGGTAGATGGAAGCATTGATACAAAGCAGAAAGAACAGACAATTCTTAGGAGATGTAGAATGTGTTCTAGAAGCCACTCTTTGTCCTTCTCTAATTGTATTAATGTGTAAAATAACATCTCATGCTTTAATGTTTTCATGGAATAATCTAATCAATGCCCCTGGTTATCCTGTGATAGAAGAAACGTCCTTTATTCTGAAACTGGTGTTGAAAATTGTTTAGCAAATATAATCTTCTTTCAGTGGAACATTAAAAAAAAAAACCACTCTAAGAAGTTAATATGTACTTTTGCAGTCAAAATTAAGAAACCCCAACTATAGGTTTTTATGTGTTCCCATACACACAACATACATGAAAATAATTATTGAAACAATTTATAACCTAGTTGTTATCTAGTTGTTTTTCTGAAGCATGTTTATACATAGGACTCTAATGGGAGCTTGCAAGCTATTCTGAAAAAGGTGCGATTTTTTTAACATTGGTGGTAACGTCGGCCTGCTCGAGCGAACGATTTTTCGTTTTTTTTTTTAAATTGGCCGATTTGCGAGCCGTCTATGGCCTGCATAAGAGGGACAAACAGGAACAGTTTTTTGTTAAGCATTAGCATACAATGTACCACCCAAGCCTTGATATCTTTAACCAGCCGTCAGGACAGCCAGTATGCAAATCTAATTTAATGAGATACAATGAGATCTGCCAGCACAGTATAGAAAGGGTTAAAGGAGAAGTGTGTGATTACAAAAAAAACCAAACATTTATACTTCCCTATGTGGCTGCAGCATCAGTCCGATGCTGGTGCTGTCCCCCCCCACCAGCTAAAAGATTGAGAACCCAGCAATCACATGACCACTGTTAGCTCAGTTCTCTATCTTCAGTGAGCAGAGAGTGGTGAGAGTCAGTCATTGCTCCCTGACCCTCCAGCACTCACTAGAGCACCAGGCTAGGGAGCACCACAGTGCTGGATTGAGATCATGCTCAGGTAAATATAGGGGGGAGGGCTGGGGGGAGATGCACACAGGTTTTGTCTTTAAATGCAGAGAATGCATTAAGGTAAAATTCTTCTGCCTTTAAAACCACTTTAATTATGAAAACCCTCCTCTTTGCCTTTCTGAAAATAGCTTCACTTCCTATGGGACTGACTTCAGAGCTAATCCCCACCAACTGTTAACCCTCTATCCACTGAAAATGCCCCAGCAGTCAGTAACCCTTGGTTCACATTTGTGCGGGACTCACACAAATACCTGCAGCTGCACCACCAACAGGAATGCAGGCCCCGCAGGTGAGTGCCATTAATTCTAATGGCATGCC